TGGTCTCATGGTCCTGTGGTGGTCTCTAAAATATAAATACTTTATCTAGAACATAAATATTAAATAGAAAAATTACAATACAATTATGTAAAAGTACAAAATCAAGCAAATGTAACTTTCATCTTCAACAAAGAAACAAACAAAGGGAAGTAAAGGTTTTATGTGTAGTGTGAGTTATATCAATCTGTTATTGGAGTTTATTGATGAGTTCAACAAATAAATACGTATTTATTTATATATATATATATATATATTTGTTTGTGTCCCTCAGGGATCCTGAAGAACGTGAAAGACCACATCAGAGAGTGCTCTTCGTGTCAGAGCCGGAGAGGCGCCGATGACGGCTCTGGATCTCGACCCTTCAGCCGGCCGGGGAGACGCAAGGCGGCCGCCGCTAACGCTAACGCTAATAATGAGGAAGAGGAGGAAGAGGAGGAAGAGGAGGGAGACGATAGTTTGGTCTTCACTGACTCGTCTTCTCAGCTCAGATCCATGAAGACGCCGGTGAAGCACGAACTGGTGTTTGTACGTTTCTCCTGTTTCACATGTTTATTAATGTGTTTTATTATTATTATTAATGTCTCTCTCTCTCTGTCTCCGTCTCTCTCTGTCTCTCTCTCTCTGCCCCCCCCCCCCAGGTGGACAGTAAAGGAGAGGTGAATCAGTTCCTTCCTAATCACAGTCAGACGATGTTGGACAAACTGAACCAGCAGCGTCTCACCAACCAGTTCTGTGACATCACGCTGCTGATTGAGGGGGAGGAGCATCGCGCCCACAAGGCCGTGCTGGCGGCGTGCAGCGAGTACTTCAACGAGCTCTTCTTCGAGAAGGGCGCCGCCTCCACGCACGAGGCCGTGGTGGACCTCTCCGGTGAGACCTCGAGGAGAAAAGACAACGTTCATGCGTTGCCGTCTGGTTTTTTCTAACCCTTCACTTCTGTCTGCAGGCTTCACCAAAGTCAGCTTCCTGCCGCTGCTGGACTTCGCCTACACGTCCGCGCTCACCTTCAACTTCTGCGTCATGGCCGACATCGCCAACCTGGCTCGCCACCTGCTGATGACGGAGGTGCTGCAGATCTGCGAGTCGGTGCACAAGCAGGTGGAGGAGCAGAAGCTGACAGTGTACCAGAGGGGAGACGTGCACACGGTGGTGTCCAGCCAACCGGCGCCAGCTCGGGACGGCACCAAGGATGAGTCGACCGCCTTCTTGGTCACCATGGAGAGCGACGGCCGGGGCGTGGTCACGCAGAGCGGCGAGCCCGTGGCATTTGTCGCTCCTCCCGAGGAGGACGCCTACGCCCAGCGGTCCGTGAGCGACGTCGCCGAGGGAGAAGAGGTGCATTGTGGGGAGGCCGGACAGAGCGAGACGGTGACCCTGATCGCTCAGGAGCCGGGAGAGACGCTCACCCTTATCTCTGGCGGCGCGGATGGACCGGAGGGCGACACGATGACCGTGGTCACGCACAGCGGGCAGGCCGGGGCCAGCGAGTCCCTCGCCGTGGTGTCCGCCTGCCTGGCGATGGAGGAGCAGCCGCCGGCCTTTGAGGCCTTCGTCATCAACGTGGACCCGGGGAAAGGGAGTCCCTCGGAGGTCTTCAAGCTGGCCTCTGAAGCGACGATGGCGGCGGCGGTAGAATCGGCTCCTCCCACTCCCCAGAAACGTAAACGTGGACGTCCGGCGAAGGCGAAGAGGGAGGTGGAGGAGTTCGTCCCTCTGGAGGAGGAGGAGCCGTCTGCTGACGAAGGACACGGAGACAAACAGGACACCGACGACCCCAACAGAAGACGACTCCGGCAGCGCTCCATCGCTGAAGGGGGGTACGCCCGGCTCCACATGGGGCTGGAGGAGGAGGAGGGGGGGAGGGGGGGGGCAACCTCGTCCTCACCGAGAGCCGTCACTCCGAAGGTAAGTTTAAATACACAGTCTATCAAATATAGAATATATGAAGAGCAACGGATCAGATCAAGAGAAACATGATGATCCACGTTGTTAAAGATCAGTAAACATCACAAATATTACGTTATACTTTTACTTTGTTTTAGTAATGTAGTGTTCTCTTTCTTCATAAAAACACACAATTCAAATAATAAGGAAATAACAGATTGTTTTCTTATTTAAATATTATTATTAATGCTGTATAATAATGTGTTTAGAGCTTGTGTTAGAAGTTAAACATCATAATTCATCTCTAATATCTATTTTATATTCATGTGAAAACATGTCCTTCAAACTACTGGATTTATTCTAGTTTATCACCAAAACTACATTTTACAGATGACATGTGAACACATCATGATAAGGTTATAATGTACCTTCAGCCAGTACTCATGTTCACTGAGCAGAGCATGAAGGCATCATCATGTACCTTCAGCCAGTACTCGTGTTCACTGAGCAGAGCCTGAAGGCATCATGTCAATGAAGTGAACCTGAGTCAGTACAACTTTATTTACACTGTGATGGTTAACGTTAAAACTTTATTTACACTGTGATG